GTTTGTTAACAAAAATACAAACTGAAGAAAAGGGAAGAACATTGATGTCAAACGAATATGCATCCTCATTCATTCTGATCTTTGTGTGTGGAATCTACGTCTTTTAGTCCCAATACTACGTGTTGTAGTGTTTCTTTTATGACGTTTTGTGAAAAATCTGTACCTGATGGAGAAAAATGGATATCATTTTCAGATTCAGCGTACAGGAAATACTGTAGAACATGTAAACATTTCAAGACAATAAAACCATCGCAGGCCTGTGTTATTATTATTACTTTTATCTGTTTTCACGCTCTACCTACATTTGAAGAACAGAACAAAATAAAGCGAAGAAGCTTTTCTGGAAACAGACCCTTCTCCAAGGAGATGTTTCAAATTATGACATCTTTTTTAAGTCACGTAATTAGTCTGTATATGCCAGTTGCTTTATACATGTTGTTACATATAATCTTTTATAAGTATTATTAGAGTAAATTTGATTTTTCGTTGTAGCTTTTAACAATTCCTATAGGTGGTGGTGGTGAAGGAAATCACTAAGGTCTGTATCTTTCTATAAGTGGTGGTGGTGGTGGTGCTACAGTGAATCAGTCTGTGTTTCTGTAAGCGGTGATGGTGAGATCAGTTAGTTCTTTGTAGGTGGTGGTGGTGGTGAAACCTGTAAGTTCTGTGTGTTTCTATAGGTGGTGGTGGTACAACAACACTTGGTAAAACCCAGAAGTCTTGATGTCAATGAAAACCTCCTCTCCGACACTTGTAGATCTGTTTTCCAACTGACTGAAGAAGCCGTGAAGAATGGACAGGCTCTTGAAAATGTCATAGAAGAGGTTAGTTCTTCAAAATACCATGCATTGAAAGCTCAGTAAGTGCTAAATAAGATCATTTACTATATCAATATCTTAATATCATGATGTCAAGGAACCAATTTGAAGTAAATATATAGTAGAGGCGGCTGATGTAGGTACTAAAATATTTTATTTAAAACACAAAACAAGGAATAACGTTTCGAACTCCTTAGGTCATCATCATGTTAAGATATTTTTATGGAAATATACTATCGATAAATTCAAATTAACATTTATGTTATAATATCGACGGCTTACACTGCTCGATGTAATGATTATACACCATAATAGGCAACGAATAATATTTAGTTAAAAGTAGGTGTGAGGAAAGTTTATGACAATGATAATATACATACAGAAAGTAATATGATTCCTGTTTAAAAGTTTTTAAAGTGAAGTTATGTGCTACAGGAACGATACATTTGTGTTATAGAGCGGTTTCGAAGTTTATTAATAGGCAAATAATTCAAATATGTAAAAGAGCAGCAAAATAACTGTTAGTGGTGTGAAGGGTTTGTGAGCTTACCCTGTGACAATATCATTGGAACCATTCAAGGTCAACTTCATGGTTATTTCTTCCGGAAATGTTATTCATACGCATCATAGACCCAAAATGTCCACGACAGAGTCGTAGACAATAACAAATAAGGCATTTTAAATTACAAATTACAATGTTTTGTTTGTAGTTAAGCGCAAAGCTACAGAATAGGCTATCTGTGCTGTGCCCACCACGGGTATCAAAAGCCGGTTTCAAGCGTTATAATTCTGCAGACTTACCGCTATGCTACCCATTCCATGCAAATGGAGTAGTTCTACCGAAGATCAAAATCCAACCACAGCCAAGTTTGAGGTATAAGACCAGAATATTGCATAAGCAGAGAACTACACCTTTGATTGCCCCCCCCCCCAAAGTTTTAAAAAGATTAACATAAAAGTCTCCTGCATACCTTGTGCTGCAGCTGACCCCAGATCACTTATATAATGTCACAAAATTCAGTTGAATTCCAGTTTGAAATGGTTCTACTGCATGAAGCTTGTCAATGAAAGTGTGCACCAGAATGCTTGGGTTGTTGCTACATTCTATGCCAAATGGTTCTCAGATGAACGTCATCCTTCATATTAGACTACAATAATTGTATGTCAGTCGCTGCTTTCTGTAGGATAATCCACGCATTAAAATGTTTAATTTGTTATTGTATACACCATTGCAAATTACATTTGTCACTCATGTAAAAATCGTGAAGGACATAACTTTGAAGTTGACCTTTAACGAACTCAATGCTATTGTCACATGGTAGACCCACACCTTATTCCATACTACTAACAATTGTTTTCCTATACCTCTCCATTTCTGAATTAATTGTTCGTTACTGGAATTCTGAATCACCCAGGATATCAGTCTTGGTTGAAAATTTACTTACGATCCGTTTCATACGACGTTGATACTCCTGATAACGCTTCGAAGCGCATTTCTTTGATAATTTTTGTGTAAGTTTTAATGAAATTGTATATCTTAATATCCAAGTCTTTCAAAAGGTTGTTACTCAGTAACAAGTTTCTACTAAAGTGAATGTGAGGAAGGTCAAAGAAACAAGTAAAGCGAAAACATAGTTTCTTCATCAGTTATTGTTATGCCATATGGTTTTTTAAACATACACAACTTAAAAGCAAGATTCTAGGTCTCAATATAATATAGATTTTTCTCCAACATGTTAAACAGCAGTTTAAAGTGATATTTTGGTGTTTTAAACTAGTGGTGAAATGCTACTTAAAGAAACACAGGTATTCACCTTTGTCACGACCTGACCTCACGTTTATGGAGTACAAAATATAGGTACTCCTTCATACAATGTTCACGTCGAACTGCAAGAATTGCAAACAATAACGGAATTTTCTACCGACAGAATTTCACCCCTGTTTGAAACCTTGAAAGAACCACAAACATTTATTGGCCTTAACATGATCCCCGATTGGTTACAATAATGTTTATGATTTATATTTCACGTGTTCTGAAGACGGTGATAATTGTTTGTTTTTTTTTGTCTGCAGTTGGACCAGTTTGTGAAAGCCAAGTTAGATAATGATGGCAGCAGAAACTTTTGTCTGGTTACTGACAGTCAACTCCATCTCAGACAAGTTCTTCACCCCGAGGCTACTAAGAAGAATTTTTCTCTTCCTGACTATTTTTGCTCATTCTTTGATTTAAGGAAGGAGTTCCGAATGTTTTACCACACCGACGAAATTCTCTCCATACAAGACATGCTTAACTGTATCCTTTAAACTTGTCGAATTTAAACTTATGTTTAACATTAACATTTATGGGATAAAAACATCCTAAGGCCATGATAACTTAAAGTCTTCAAAATTCAAGTCAGTGACTGATTTAATATGAGAAGAATCGTGGATCTGTATTAAAAGAACTTCTCTGTTTCACTGATTTCTATAGCTCGGCGTGAAGTTTTCTTGTCAGTTTTTTGTTGTTGTTTGTGTTTACCTTGAGAACTGTTAAAAAACAACTTTTGTGTGTCGTATCAACGTTTTGTATTACTACAAAAAATGACATGGATTTTGTCGCTGATTGAGTTTTTACAACCACATTGGTTTGTAATGTGAAAATTTTGATTTAAACCTAGCTAAACTATGTAACCTTATCGAGTATTGTTGTTGAAACTATATATTTGTATCGGGGATTGTAGAAACTATAATCGAGGATTTTTGTCAAACAATATAATTCTATCGAGGATTGTTGTATCAAGTTTCAAAATTGTTGTTTTGATCGTATAAGTGTTTTTGTAGATTGCCACAAAAGTTCTAATAGAATTATATGAGACCATATTTTATTAGAGATTTCTGCCCAGACTGATACAACTTGTAAACTAATGTTGTTGTTTACCGCTAGGATTAGAGTGATAGACGTGAATTCTGCCATATATACCATTTTTTCATAAGACTATAAACCATGTCGTTTTATACCTTTGTCTTTTTTTTTCACATTTTTCTTTCTTAATTTATCGATGAAGTTAAGAACGTAATCCAAAAAGTGAGAAACCTACTTCACTGTTACAAAAATGTTATACATGGATAAATTTTAAGGCATCGCCAAGATGTTTTCGGGAGTGGTGTGTTGCTGAAAACAATAACAATTGTAAGCCTAAGTAATGCGCCAGTCAGAAGCAGTCCATAACAAGATTCGTGCCAGCTTGGTAAAGCACATTAGCAAACGAAAGAGGTTATGAATAGAAAAATATAACGCCACGTTCTGCGCTTTTTGCAGCCCTGTATTTTATTTTCCATGACTAGCAAATTCCAGTAGAAACGTTTATTTGCCCGACGTCATCTCTTCTCCTGACGACACTCATGATAACAGTATTTCGTTTTATTCATTAATCGTCATGTTGATATACATTCACATTTTCACTTACCTTGCTCTAATAACTTGTATTCTTAAAATTAAAAGTTTAACTTCCTGGTAAATCTTACGTGCATAAACCACTTTTGTACACATAATTTTATTTTCATGACTTTCAAAGATTAATAAGCCTGCTATTTGCTGATGATAAAGTTATGAAAGCGTTAAGTCCATATATTTTTAGGTTTTAGAAATTTAATGGTTTAGTTCTTCGCTTTAGTGGTCCTGGGTTAGAAACCTGTTGCATTTCGTTTGGACAACATTTCCTGTAACTATGCTAGTCTAGCTGTGGTAAACAATATGACTGACTGCCGAGCACTGTGTGAGTGGTGTATGCTCGTGAAAGTGGTACATGACTCATATTTTGTGAAAGCAGCTGATTCAAACAAGTATTGTTTCACAGCGTGACGTAAACATAACGAACTCTGTGTATTATTCAGCAACCTTCAAACAAAGTCTGTTCTCCAATTTCCCAAGTCAATGTAAGAGAGTTATTGATTAATACTATACATATCTGGAACGAAGAAGAACAAGAAAAACGGCAAAAAATAAGTAACAGGATTTGTAAACGTCTTCAATAACACACGGGAATAAAATTAACTGTAACTTGTACTAAATATAATTGGCATGGTTTTCACGTAACCAATATAGCGCACGGGCTTTTAACGTACGTAAAGTACCATTTTTATGATGCAAAACATAACGCCCCCATTGACACAATAAGTCTGTAGGCATATGATGCTAAAAATAATCGTGAGGGCAAATCACAGATAGCCAATTGTGTAGCTTTGCGCTTTACAACAAACAAACCAAAACGAAAACAAAACATAATGATTGAAGCTTATAAATATAACCTAGGTCATTTATATAAATATGCAGCTTGGTAACGCTAGGTAAGTGGACGTACTTCTTATTTCTTTATATTGTTACGTCTCCGTTCGTTAGTTGATTTTCCGTAACTTCGTTCCCACGAAATTTTAGCGGCACAAGTCCTTTCTTAATAAAACTGGTTTATTCTTTCTGAATATAACTTTACCGATACACTTATTTTCAACAGTCGCTCTATAACAAACGCTATAACAACGAACGTTAACTTCAACAATACTTTCTGACTGCAGTTCAATTACTCACTACCTACACACACATTACACTGTTCCCGTCACGTTGTGAGCGTCTTATATATATACCAGACTAACATATATCCAGTAAATACTAAGGCATTCATGAAGGAACAGGATATTTCTAGAAAATAGGTGGCGTGACACTAGTCACGTGCCCTCGCTGACGCAACAATATGCTCATTGTGAGTATAACTTCTTCTCTTTTACTTAATATAATTAATATCTTAAACGCATGCAACTTTACGTATTTTGCAAAGTTAGGTTTGGTTAGAATTTCGCACGAGGGATATCTGCGTCCTTAATTTAGCAGTAAAAAGACAGATAGTCATCATCAACTCTTGGGTTACCCCTTTTACCAACAAATTAATTAGACTGTGTGCATGGCATTCATAGTGTTCTCTGTTTACCACAACCGACTTATTATAATATGGATGTTTGAGAAGAAAAGAAGCAATATTAATACTGTTGCGTCAGCGAGGTCACGTGACTAGTATCACGCCACTCCTTATCGAACCTTCGTGACTTGTCGGGAGATTACTAGATTGAGGGTAGTCTGGTATATACAAGACGCTCACAATGTGACGGAAAAAGTGAATGAGTAATTGAACTGCAGTCAGAGAGTGTGTAATTGAACTGAGTATTATTGAAGTTGAGCGCGACTGTTGAAATTAAGTGTACCGCAAAGTTATATCCAGAAAGAATAAACCAGTTTTATTTAAGAAAGGACTTGTGTCGCTAAAGTTTCGTCGGAACGAATTTGCGGAAAATTAACTAACGAACAGAGACGTAACAATACTATTAGTTTTTATTTTCAGCAATGTCCAAAATCATAGTTGTTTTATTATCACGAAAATTGTGTACTTTGGCGAAATATAAGCAAACCGCCCATTTTTTTTTTACGTTTTCGCCAAAATGCACGAATTTGGTGATAAAGAAAATAGTATAATATTTGACCGCAGTGTTTTTGTATTTTTATATAGTGAATGTACGAGTACCATTTACAAAGGTAGATATTAAGAGTTTATCCATATTTATTTTGGTATATCTGGCGTTTTATAATAGAACTAACTAGTTTATTTAACCCTTTGTGGTCCGTCCGCTAGTAACGATTGGCATCCAATTGGAATTCTACTTTTTTTAAAGCTTCGCCTACAAGCTATCCAAAAAATGGCTTGAAATAAAGGGTCATTGTTCTAATTTTACCAATCAGGGTGTGGCGCGTACTTGATTATAGGCCAAAGGGGTTAAGAAAGCCCGAAAGTTAAATCAGAATAGCACGTCGTATACATAGCAGGTGTGATAATAATTGTCTGAAGAAACAAAACAAGAACCAACACATAATTGGTTTACTAGTTGCCAAGTATCGTTTTTCTTTGGGAAGGAGGATAACGACAAAGTTAAGAGGTTACTCATTATGTAAGCATGGCATACTATGGTATTTAGAATGGTAACCTCAGTTTTACCTTGTGAACGAATCCACATTGAAAATAGAAAACAATATCACACGAATTTTACCATCTGCTCTGCATTTTCATTCAAAATACAAATTAAGGACAATCTAAATATTGATTCGAAAATGTTTGGAATGACTGAGATGGTGGATAGCTTTTCTCACGATGGCTGAAAACTATTCAATGTGGGCGTCAATACCAGTCTTTCAGAGTCTTCTGCTGGCTGACAATATTTGTAAGCGTTACAGCTAATATTTTATGTTTTCCACATGTCTGTAAATCTCTTAATATTTGTTTGGCTCAATGTAAACCTCCTGACATTTTTTCGATGTCATTGTATACCTCCTGACGCTTGTTTAATGTCATTGTATACCTCCTGATGCTTCTTTGATGTCATTGTAAAACTCCTGACGCTTGTATACCCCCGACACTTGTTTTTTGTCATTGTAAACCTCCTGACGCTTGTCTGGTGCCATTGGAAATCTCCTGATACTTGATTTTTTATCACTGTAAACCTCCTGACGCTTTTCTGGTGTCATTGTAAACTTCCTGACACTTGTTTGATGTCATTGTAAACTTCCTGACACTTGTTTGATGTCATTGTAAACTTTCTGACGCTTCTCTGGCCTCATTGTAAACCTCCTGACACTTGTTTGGTGTCATTGTAAACCTCCTGACATTTGTCTGGCGTTGTTTTAAACCTCCTGGCGCTTGTCTGGCGTCATTGTAAATCTTCTGACGCTTGTTTGACGCCATTGTGAACCTTCTGACACTTGTTTGATGCTGCTGTAAATTTGACATTTCAGTTGGCATAATTATTAATATTCAAACACTAGTGATAATAAACTTTTAGCCTTTGGACACTAGTGGTAACATAGGTGTTAATGTTTGACTGGTGGTAATGTGACTTTCTTGACACAATAATAGTACTGTAACTGTCAATTTTTTGACACTAGTGATACTGTAACTAATAATTTTTTTACACTAGTGTTACTCTGAATGTTAATCTTTTGATACTAATGGTAATGTAGCTTCGATCTTTTGACACTAGTGTTACTGTAACTGTTAATCTTCTGCCACTGGTGGTAATGTAACTGTCAGTCTTTTGACACTAGTGATAATGTAACTAATAATCTTTTTACACTAGTGTTACTCTAAATGTTAATCTTTTGATACTAATAATAATGTAGCTTCGATCTTTTTACACTAGTGTTACTGTAACTGTTAATCTTTTGCCACTGGAGGTAATGTAACCGTCAATCTTTTGACACCAGTGATAATGTAATTTTCAATCTTTTGGCACTAATGGTAATGTAAATAATGTAACTTTCAATCATTTGACACTAGTGATAATGTAACTAATAATATTTTGATACTAATGGTAATGTAACGGTTAAGCTTTTGACACTAGTGGTTGTGTAACTGTTAGTCTTTTTTTCGGGGGGAGTATGAAAGTTAACTACCCTAAAATAACATTAGGATGAAGGAGAACAATCAGACTTTTGTCTCCCGGAAGAAAACTTTGAAAGAAGACGAGAAAAAACTAAATGTTTTCTGTTAGTTTTACTGTATCTTTAATTAATTATAGCATATTTAAATAAACAAAGGAAATATTTCAAATCTTAGAGCAACCCATTGAAGAACGATTTAAGAACTGGCACAACACTACAAACGTGCCACATTGTTTAACAAGGAGAGGTACGGGTCCCAAAGAGATGTATTTATTAACTAACACAGTTTATGTAACATCCGTGACATACACACAGCCTTTTTCTGCACAGTTACGTCCAATTTTTTTAAACGACACCCGAAAAAAGTGCAATAAAAGATATTTTTGAACAATCATCGTACATTTTCAGGAATAAACCTTTCTTTTCCGAAAAAGAAAAATCCCGCAAAAATAATTTTAATCGTTTGAAAACTACAGCTTATTTTGTGCATGTACTATATGTTTTTTTTTATATCTTCTATGCTCCAAAAAATAGTCTGTCTTAACTTATCAATTTCTATTTGCTAGTGGTAAATTATAATCAGACCTACAATTTTCTGTTTGTATCTTGAATATTTTTGTCCCACTCTAACTCGAGTCCCCCAGTGACACAGCGGTATGTCTGCGGACTTACAACGCTAGAACTTGGGTTACGATACCCGTGGTGGGCAGAGCACAGATACCCCATCATGTAGCTTTGTGCTTACTTTCAAACAAACAAAACAATACCTCGAAAATGTTCTTATTTGTAATTACTTTTACAATTTTTGTACTTATACTGAATCATTCCGAATTTAATGCTTTTAAGTAACCATAAGCATTCATAAAGAAGGATCCTAAAAAAAACTATAAAGAAGTATTATTGAAGAAATTACAGAGGGTTGAGTACGCTTTTTCATAAACGATTTTGAATATGCAAATTAGCAAGTCACGTGACAATTACAGCTGATATATAGTCTTGATGGGAGAGTATGTATGAA